TGGGAATGCCTGGGCACCCGGGCTGCCTCTGCTGGCTGCGCTGTGAGCCGGGCAGAGCCCAGCCCTGCTTGTGCCCCTGACAGCAGCCCCTGACAGCAGCCCTGGCAGCAGCCCCTGCGGGAATTTATGAAGCTGCACCAGGAGGGGGAGGCCCTTTCAGGGGCTGGTTCCTGCTCAGTTTGAAACATCGCTGGCCTTGGTGTCACCTCCAGCTTCTGCTGCAGCTCACCTTGGGGCCAGGTCCCACAGAGGCCCTGGGACGCCCTATCTGCCTCCCCTGGGACAGGCAGCCCAGCCCGTGCTGTGCTGAGCTCAGGGGGTGGCTCAGGGGCTGTGGGGCACAGACGTTTCAGCGTCATGGCTCAGTGCAGGGACTTCAGAGCCATCCTGTCCAGGCCCTGAGGAGTCAGATTTTGCTGTCTCTGATTTCTGGCTTTACAGCCATGTCCCTCCTTGTCCCTACTTGTTGCTTATCATTCTCCTGAGCCCCCCAGGCCTGTGATTAACCAAATCCATGTGCTTGGCTCCAGCCTGGCCTGTCAGTGAGTGCTGCCAGCTCCACTCCCCTGCCTGCAGGACGTGTCCCGGCCCGCCAGCCCCAGCACAGCTCTCCTGTTCCAGGAGACACTTCATGCAGGCACCCAGGGCTTGCAGGAGAGGTGGGAGGCAGGCGTGCCTGGGACCCAGCAGTGCTGCTGCTGGACTTTGCTCCCACCACAGGCCCCGCAGCCAGCCCTGGTGCTCTGCTGCTGCAGCACAAACACACACACAGACAGGAGCGATGATATCATGACCTGGCTTTGTGTGAGCTATTTAGGGGCTTTAATTATTTTTTTTTTATTTGTTTTTCTTTCCCGTTCCTCTGCCTTTGAACAATGCCTGTCCCAGCAGGGCTGTGGTTCACACCATTGTGTGGGGCTGCCTTACCTCAGGAAGGGGGAGATTCTTATCACCCCAGGCTGACTGGGGGAGGTCAGTGAGCTCATGTTGGGTGAGGAAAGCAAGCGAGCACCTTGCTGGCAGCCTGGGATGGAAACACACCCAGGCTGGGGTGCAGCCCCCCCCCCACCAGACTGTGCTGGGGCCACCACCTTCTGCTTGTCAATGCCCCTGCCTGGGCACAGTGACGGCGCTGGCATCAGGGTGGCATCGGTGCCTCTCCCGTGTTTACCAAGGAACAGGTCTAACTTGCCACAGTTTTCCTCTCCAACCCTGCCCAGCCCTGGGTCCATGGCTGGGGGGTAGAGCTGTGCCCAGACATGGGCTGGCACCGCTGAGCCTGTCCTGGGGCCACAGGGAAGGCTGGAGGGGGCCCTGTCCCCTAGGACATGTCCTGGGTGGCACAGCTCTGGTTCCTCAGGCACAGCAGATTACAGGGATCATCCTGGGCATGGAGGCTTTTTGGGGTGACATGTTCCCTCCGTGAGAGCAGGCATCATTGTCCTCAGGCTCCATGCTGGCATGGAAAGAGCCTGGAGCCATCAGCTGCTCCCCACAGGCACCGTGCTCAGCCCCTTTATTTGCAGAGAAAGCCAGGCAGCCCCTGGGGAGGGGGCACAGCAGTGACACTGCGCCTGCTCTGCCCCAACCCACCCCAGGCACTGTGGCCCTGCCCCCAGCAAGAGCGGGGGGCCCATGCACTCCCCTGCCCTGCCTGTTTTGGAGGTGGCACAGTGGCCACTGAGGGTGAC